AAACTTCTCTTTGTTGGGCGTGAATCTTGAGATATGGATTTTACAATATTACTGGTTTGGTCACTCTTTGTGTTTATATTACTGTTTTATGTATTTTAAAATTTCAATGTGATTTGACGGAAAAAAATTCAATTTTGGTGTTACTTTATGATATTAGTGTTTTTTGTTTTAAATGTTATTGTTTTTGGTTTGAATGTTATTATGTTTTATTTTATTTTCTGAAATATTAATATTTAATGTTATTATTTTTCGAAATGTTAATATTTTTCAAAACGTTTAATATTGAATGTTTTTATTATTTTTATTTTTTAAAATATTAATATTCAATATTACTATTTTTTAGTTCTAATCTATATAGATATTAGAGAGAGAGAAAATATTAATGTTAGTAAAACTTCTAAATTTTAGGATTTTTAATTTTTAAATTTGTTTTAATTAAATATATAACTAATGAGAGTATTTTGAATAGGGTGCAACTTGGGCAGGCCAACCTGAATTTAACCTGAGCCCAACAAAAAAAAAAATAAGACTTGTGTTAGAATTTTTAATATTTGGGTTGGATCTGAGCAAAAAAATTTCAACCCAAATTGAAATTGGGCAAGTCTCGGGTTGTCGGGTTTTAACTTGAATATTAAAATCAGGTTAAACCTGATTATTAAATTGGGTTGAACCCGAATATACATAAATATATAAATATATTTAACTAGGGTTAGTATTTATCTTTATTTTTTAGAGTCCAGACTTTTACTTCATTTCAACTTCTTACCCCTGCGCCTCCATTACTCTTAGATCTCTCTCTTACTTGTCACTCCTCCCTCTCACAACCTCCCTCTTTCAATCGTCACTTGTTTGAGTCGTCTCAAACTCTCAGTCTCCTTATCTCACTCGTCATTTCTCATTCTTTCACTTCCTCTCTATTCATCTGCATCTCGTCCCTTATCTCAGATTAGTTAAAAAAATTATATCTCCATTTTAAAAAATTAAATCTACATTTCAAAAAATTAGTCCGAATTAAGTAACTTAAGTTCAACTCGATTTTTTAACCTAAAATCAGCTAAAATTAAGTAACCCGAACCTGCTCGAATTAGATTTAGGCAGTACTGGGTTAAATATCTTGGGTTAAGGTAGGGTTAAGGTTAGAATTAGAATTAAGGTTAGAGTTAGGGTTAAAGATTATATACTTAGGATTGAGCTAAGGTTGACTTTTCAATCCGCCCAATTCAACCCAACCAAATTGCACCTTTAATTTTGAATAGAGTAATGTTATTTATATATTAAAATTTAACCTTATTTGTTGACTTAATAATATAATTTTATTGAAACAGATGAAACTCAAAATAAACTTACTTTTAAATAAAATTTTTAAGTGAATTTATTCTCAAATAGCCTTAAAATGTCTCAAAACAAAAAAGACAATGAATATTGACGAAACGTTATTGCGCAAGGTGTGAAGAGCCGACACGCCGACATCGCGTTGACGCATGAAATAAATAGCAGTGTAATCAAAACCGGATCGGGCGGTCGAATCGTTGAACCGGGCCCTTAACCGGTCTGATTTTGTAATTACTATTAAGTCGCCTAAAAATCGATAAACTTGGCTGCTTTTGCATAAAATTGGAGAATCGGACGAGTTTTCCGATGAGTGGGATAACAAGAAATCAAAATTTTTTGGGCAATTTTGCCCCAAATCGACTTCTGCGGTTCTGTGTTTTGTTTTCCATCTCCATACGCAGAACTCATCTCCGAGTTTTCTCCAGACCAGAGGCACACAGAGGCAGGCAGGAGGCAGCAATCCATCTCCTTCGACTTGGAATCTCAGCAGTAGTCCCTCTCCCTCCTTCCTTATGTGACTGTAAGTCGTCTTTTTCTTCTTTTCTTGCTCTCTCTACACGCACACGCAACGCAGCGCCCCTTCTCCTTCCTTCTTTCTGATATGTTAGTGTAGGTCTGCCCCCTTTCTTTCTGTGTCTCTCTCGTCTACACGCACACACAATTAGTAATCACACGGTATTTTTATGGGTAAATCATTAAATTGCACTAGGTGGATGGCGAATCCACCTACGAGTCTTACATGAGTTATCTCATCAGAGAGACAAAGTAGGTATAGGCTGAAAGGACTATGGCTTCAACTTCAAGTCAGTGGCTCTCGCCTCTGATATCTCTTCTTCTGTTTCTTTTTTCTTTTGTTCTGTTTTGTCTTTTTCTGTGTAGTTCGTCTTTTAAGTAGTAATATAATTATCCATGTTTTGCTGACCAAAAAAAAAAAAAATCTTTAAAGTATAATTTTTTTTTATTTTGATGCCAATATTTCAATTAGAATCATTTTGATCTATAAAATATTAAATATATTTTTATGTGGTTTGCTAGGTAAATGCAATGGAGACAGTTAGGTATAGATAACCTTCCCGGCAAACGAAGAGGTTGTTTCAACGGTTCGAATGTGACCTTCAAGTCACAAGAGAGCAATTTTAACGTGATACTTAAATATAGATAAACATTAATTTGAGTAATTCTTGACTAAAATTTGATTAGTTCTTCACAAAAATGTATCTAATATGGATAGTTATTGATCAAAATTTAGATAGTTTATGATTAAAATTGTATAATTTGGGTATTATTTTGACCAAAATTTAAATAAAAATTTGGTCAAAAGTTATCCAAATCATTTTTTGCCGATATTTAGGTATTATGTGACAAGTTTATAATAAAAAAATCGTTAATAATTTGGACACTGTTTGTTTGAAAAATCATATAAAAATATATTCAATACTTTAAGGACTAAAATAATACAATTGAAATATTAGAAATTAAAATAAGACAAACTCTATACTTTGAAACCTCCGATACAATTAACCTTAATTTTATTGCTGTTTTTTTTTTTTAAACTTTAGTGTGTTTTACTATATTAAGCCTCTCAAGTTGGAAGAATTGATATGGCAAAGGGAAAAAAAAATAATTGTAAATGTGTTTTATATTTTTTAGTTAAATTATTATATTTTATAATTGTTCAAATCATATGCAAAAATCACTATCCTTAAATTTTTATTTTAGTATTGAAAATCCAAGATAGACCAACCTAGAAATTTTTTTTTTTTTTTTTGGCAAATCTAATCTTATAGGTGCTAAAACTTAAATAGTCAGCAAGAAATCTGTTTTACTTAATTCCTGCATTTATTCTTGTAGAAATTGTAAGTTCTTATTATCTTTTCTACATAGAAAGATATAACAACATGGAATGTTAAAAGGTATATCATGAGGCCTGAGTTATAATAGATGACAAAAGGATCATTAAAGTTTCATTTATCTAGATTTAGTACTTTATTAAGCATACAAAGAGTTTTGGCTTTGAAAAGAAATAGTCCTCTAACACCATGAAAACATTTCTGATAACATAAAAAATAAGCTATAATATAATTTCAGATTAATAGTAGCTATGTATGCATAACGTGATCCCTATTATTTACTAAACCCCATAATGCAATTTACCAATTACCCAACTTAAACTTTTTTCCCATTCTCCTATTCTTTTTCTAAAAATTGCAGCTACAAGAAATTAATTGTAAGATTTATCTATTTTTTTGAGTTATGTGCACACATGAAATGGTTTTTTTTCCCCCTTTTTTTATGAAACAAAAAGAAAAATTTGTAATCTGGTCATAAAGAAATGTCATAAATTAATTCAAAAATATGAAAAATCTAATGGTTACATATGAAATTTGAGTGACTATAAAAAAAATCCTTCCCTCATCTTCAAGGCATCAACCCATCAACCAATTCCACAGCACTGCGACACTAAGAAAATCATGTGAAGAGATTAGTGGCATTGAGCGGAATAATCCACAAACTTGTTGGTAAACTTGATGATACTGTCCATTCTCCACATAAGTGCATTAAATTTTTATAGACAATGCTGCACTGTATTAGAAGCTCGAAAATTGTTACTCCAAAGTCCCGATGAGATATGAATTATCGCATTCTTATAATTCTTAAAAATAGAAACAAGTCAAATTATCATTAATCTTAACTAAAGATAAACAGAGAAATTAATTGCTAATCACGATAATTAAACCACAAAAAAGAACAAAATGAAGAGAAGATTTAACCATTACCCCCAACTATCCAAGCAGTTCTGTGTTAGTTTTGTTGGTGCACAATGCCATTCGCCACTACAATCCAAGGAGCAACATTGTCGGGATCAAACCCCGCAAGCTAATCTTTGGCCTTTTTNTAAGGACTAAAATAATACAATTGAAATATTAGAAATTAAAATAAGACAAACTCTATACTTTGAAACCTCCGATACAATTAACCTTATTTTTATTGCTGTTTTTTTTTTTTTAAACTTTAGTGTGTTTTACTATATTAAGCCTCTCAAGATGGAAGAATTGATATGGCAAAGGGAAAAAAAAAATAATTGTAAATGTGTTTTATATTTTTTAGTTAAATTATTATATTTTATAATTGTTCAAATCGTATGCAAAAATCACTATCCTTAAATTTTTATTTTAGTATTGAAAATCCAAGATAGACCAACCTAGAAAAGTTTTTTTTTTTTTGGGCAAATCTAATCTTATAGGTGCTAAAACTTAAATAGTCGGCAAGAAATCTGTTTTACTTAATTCTTGCATTTATTATTGTAGAAATTGTAAGTTCTTATTATCTTTTCTACATAAANGGAAAACATATTACTATATTATAGATAATAGTTATGGAGTTATTAAATGATACATAGTTGTCTTTATATTTTTTTTTAAGGGTAATATAGGAATTTAAATTTTTTTCATGTATCTTGACATTTAGAAGTGTATATATATATATATATATAGATTATAAAGAGTTACTGTGCAAAACTTAAATACAAGACGGCGTCATTTTTTTTAACAGCACCGTCTGCATTTTTTCCCTAACAGCAGGGGAAGTGCACCTCCCAGTTCACTCACTCACCCTCGGCGCCCGCCCTTTCATCTCCTCGAGGTACTACTATTAACATCCCCCCCACACCTCTCTCTTACCATCTTTCTCTCTTCTATATATGTGCTTTGCTCCATAGGTTTCTGTTTGGTAAAGCTTTGCATCTGGATGTTAATTATTTCTTCCATTGGTTTTTTGGGTTTTGTTTTCTTTTAATTCTTTGAATAGTTGAAAGTTGTTCAAAGCCAATCTTAGGAGTTATGTGTGTCGTTTAATGTTCTCTCAGTCAGCTCGTTTAGAATTCGCGAGTTTGGTTTTCTGCCAAACCCTTCCAACTTCTATGTATGCCTACAAGGTGTTCGATTAAATGATTCAGGACCCAAGAATATAATACCCACCACCGCATTAAGTATTCCATTTGGGAAAAAGGTTCAGTGTAGTGGGTTATACTTCAAATTTGCGTTGAGAGCTTTCTGCTCTCTGTCTCTCTGGTTATTCTATTTTGCGATCAAGAGGCTCTCCAGACGTTTTTGAGTCCTCCCTTTTTTGCTTTCTTCCAACTCTCTGCTATTTCTTGATACTCTGGAACGCGTAAGTTACCAAGGAAAAACATCTATCGTAGAGAAGGGTTCAATCTACAAATTGGTATATAACCCTCTAACCGTTGTTCGTCTCAAGTTTTCACGGCAGTTTGCACAATCCTCTCTTTTCACGCTAGATTGTAAAAAAGAAGAGAATACCAGTAGCATAAATAGGCTCCTTATGGCTTATGGAGGCACTGCTGTGGGACCCCCAGCGGCAACGGGTGGACCATCAACTGCAAGACAGGTGAAGCTCGACAAAGAGTGTGAGCTGAGAGTTGAAGTTGGTCCAGACACTCCTCTCCGCCTCCGGCTGCTTACTGGCAATGCCGAGATCTTTGGCACTGAAATTCCCCCCGAAATCTGGGTGACCTTCCCTCCAAGGCTCAAATTCGCTGTAAGCGANAGAGTTGAAGTTGGTCCAGACACTCCTCTCCGCCTCCGGCTGCTTACTGGCAATGCTGAGATCTTTGGCACTGAAATTCCCCCCGAAATCTGGGTGACCTTCCCTCCAAGGCTCAAATTCGCTGTAAGCAATCTCAAACCACCTTTTTCCTGTACATTCACACAGATATCACATTACATTTTATCTGATTTTTGAACTTCATAGATGTAAATTAGAACTTGGAATTGCTCAATTAAATTTTGTTTCTTTAATGTTTTATCAATCTGCTCTGTGAACCTACTTAGTATGTGAAGACTAATAAAAAGAGAGATTATTTTGCGAAGGTTTAGTCTGATTAATAAATGGAAGGGTCCGACTATGTATGTTCAAGAAACTATGATGGTAGATAAGTGATAGGCACACATCCTTAGCTTAGTGATAATTAATAACTTATTTTTAGGGCTTTTCAAGATTCACAAGTGCTTGCCTCTCATGGACATGAATAAAAACATAAGAGTTGCTGTGTGGAGATTGAATTTGATTAATAGATGGAAGAGTCCGCATGTGTATGCTAGAAGAGCAATATTGGTGTAGAGACTGATAGGTACACATTTGTAGTCATTTTGAACTTGGCAAATGTGCTGTCTTTCCCCACTTTTATGGATAATCAAATTTTATGTTCCAGGTTTTCACTTGGTATGGAGCCACAATAGAAATGGATGGTACTACTGAAACTGATTACACAGCTGACGAGGTATGTGGCTGCTCTTTCTCACTGTGCATGGCAAGTCTCTTATCTGGTATTTCAATGGTTGCACATTATGTATTTAAATATTATATATTGTTTTCCTCTTTTTATTTAAGACGCCCATGATCAGTTATGTAAACGTGCATGCTGTATTGGAAGGACGAAGAAATCGTGCTAAAGCATTGCCCAGTGATTCTGATTCTTCTCAGGTATTAGTTTGTCTGTACCTTAACAGTGGAAGTAATTGTCAATCATGTTCCTTTTCATCTAACAATACAACTCTGCTTCCTGGCAAATGCTAACAGTAATTGCTCCTCTCTACTCTGTTTTACCAATGTTTTATTATGCCAGATCAGCCTAAATTTTTCCTAGACATAGCGAATGCATCCATCAACTCAACTTTGGGAATTTGATCTTGGTTGCATAATAAATTTTGGTACTTTAATAAGAAGTTTTAGGGTATCACTTTAATAGCTACACAGTTACCTTTTTATTTCTTCTCAGTGAAGGCTTGGAAATTTTTTTTGGATAAGGTAATTATTCTAGATGTCTGCTTGACTCTTCTTGACTGCCAATTTTCCTGCCTGGAAATGTTGCCCCCATACAAATGAAAATAATAATGTGCTTGGACCTTCAATCATTCCACTGATTTGCATCTGTGCTGGAGGGTAATGCACATTATGCAAGTGTAATGTATTTGCATTATGTCTCAGCCTTTCAGATTGTTCAGGCAACGTAGGACATAGATGGGTGGCTAGTGGAAAACACTGTCTAGACCCCTAAGTTCATATTAACAAGCTTAAAATATGATCAATCTTAGTTAGCTTATCTCACAAGCTGATCTCCAATGAGCCTCTAACAAAGCCAAACTTGAACCGTTAATATCCAAAAAAGTAATGCAAAGATATATACAAAACCACGGAAGTCAAGACTTGGCTTGTATGACCTATACCAAGGCCTATTGTATAGTGGTCCTGGTACATTGTTCTGATGCCATGCATCCAGTTATTCTGAAGATTCAAGGATGGAGTTTCCTGATGTAATTATTATTTATCATTTGCACTTGTCACTGGCTATGTTTTTCACTTGTAGATTATTCTGGCATTGTGTCCTTATCCATAGTATGTGATGTATATTGGTTGTGAATGTGACTTGGATATGGCACTCATATTGTCTTGATGTATGTGCCAAGTCCTAATGCATTTTGTTGGTTCAGGGACCCAGGGTAATAGTTGTGGGACCAACAGATTCTGGAAAGAGTACCTTGTCAAGGATGCTTCTTAGTTGGGCAGCTAAACAGGGTTGGAAGCCAACTTTTGTGGATTTGGACATTGGCCAAGGATCTATAACCATTCCTGGATGCATTGCTGCTACCCCAATTGAAATGCCTATTGATTCAGTGGAAGGAATTCCTCTTGAAATGCCTCTTGTTTACTTCTATGGACACACAACTCCTAGGTGACAAATATTTCTTCTTGTCATTTGACAATTATTGCTAATTTTACTGTTCTACGTCTTAGATTAATTTTAGATGACTAGGGACACTTGCATGTTTCGGTTGCTGTTTGGTTATAACTACTAATTATGTTGTCAAGTTTCGCCAATGATCTGGAGTTGGTGTACAGTGTCAATGCAGATTTGTACAAGGTTCTTGTGAAGGAGCTTGCTCAAACTCTCGAGCGCCAATTTGCTGGAAACGCTGAATCTCGAGCTGCAGGCATGGTGATCAATACCATGGGATGGATAGAAGGTGTTGGCTATGAGGTATTTAAATTTTCAATCTTCTAGCATGATATATGTTGGGCACTTTAATATGGAGATGCTTCTGTCAATGGGTAAATGCCCGGTGGGGACACAAGGTGTGGATAGACTTGTTCAAAAACAATTTTAAAGAAGGTGGATCTCTAGTGTAAATTGTCTTCTGTTATGTATTTTGTGCTGGATATGTTGTTCAAAGTCCCTTCTGTTTTGTACTTTGTTGCAGTTGCTTCTAAATGCTATCGAGACATTCAATGCCACTGTTGTGCTGGTTTTGGGTCAGGTAAGATCTTGCTGCATTCTTTTGATTTGTATATTAAGACAAGGTGGTGACTGGTGATAATGACATTTGAGATGCAAACATTGAAATACATTGCTCAGATGTCAAGTTCCAAGGGAGACCAAGAGCTTCGTTTGTAGTTATATTTTCCGCATTCTTCTATAAATAGTTTCAGACATCAAATCTCAGTTCTAGTCTACAGAATATTGTAGTGTTTACATAATGTTAATTGTTTTGTTCTTTTCTTTATTGGCTTGGCAAATCACGAGTAAATTTCTTTCTCAGGCCATTCAAGAGAAGTTAAGATATTGACTATTAGTCTATTTTTAAGGGCATCATTGACATCACAGAGTGTTGATGTTTTGTCTCTTGCATACAATTTGTGCAGGAGAAACTTTGCAGCATGCTGAAAGATGTCTTAAGAAACAAGCCTAACGTAGATGTTGTAAAACTTCAAAAGTCAGGTGGTGTTGTATCTAGGAGTGCAAAAGCCCGTCAGAAGGCCAGGAGCTACAGGATACGGGTAAATAGAAACTGTTGTGGTTATCAAGTAGAAATATTAAGCTCTTTAGTTTTTGGCCCTTGGAACCTTGAATAATTAGGTATAAAAAAATTGTTACCTGTCTAACATATGTTTCTTGTGTTTCTTGACTAATCTAAATGATGCATGTCATTGTTATTCCAGGAGTATTTTTATGGTCTTGCAAATGATCTGTCTCCCCATTCGAATGTTGCGAATTTCAGTGATTTGACTGTCTATCGAATTGGTGGTGGACCACAGGCCCCACGATCAGCTCTGCCAATTGGTGCAGAGCCTGCTGCAGACCCTTCAAGATTGGTTCCTGTGAATATCAACAGGGACTTGCTTCATTTAGTCCTTGCTGTTTCGTTTGCCAAAGAACCAGAGCAAATTATTTCAAGGTAGAGGCAAAATCTCCCTTGAATGTCAGTTTATTAGAACATAGCTGGAACTTAATCACTTGTTATTTTCTCCATGAATGTCTCTCAGTTACTTCTCTTTTCTGGTGCAGTAATGTGGCTGGGTTCATCTATATCACGGATATTGACATCCAAAGGTTTGAAATTTGCACTCTTGCCCATATTGAAGTGTCATCTGCTGTTTAAATACTGGTTTTATTTGATCCTTATTAACCATCATTTTCAGGAAAAAAATAACATACCTTGCCCCATCTGCTGGAGAACTCCCAAGCAAAATTTTGATTGTGGGAACATTGACATGGCTTGAAAGCTGAAGTATTTCAGAACAATTGCAATTGCCTTGTTTTTTTTTACCAAGTCCCTTAATTGTATTGGTGGTTTTATAGTTTGGTATAAACTAGTATGGCATGTTGAATGTAATTATACTTGTATTCGCCACCCTTCATCGAACATGGTTTAACATGGAATACATATTAGAGGTGATACATTTTTTTTTAATTTTTTCTTAAGGTAATGACTATTGGTGATGTTCTGTCAATTTTTTATTTTTTCGGTAAGTAATGTTCTCTGTTAATATTACTAGACATCTATCGCGTTTACCAAATCATGTTCTGTCATGTGTCATGTTAAAATTGACTTCCTCATTCGGGCCGTCTTCTTTACCTACATAAAGCCAGTGTACGGGTAAAAATCTGCTAATAATTGAAATATGTCGAGATGCGCCCCTAATTTTTGAGTATCATTTGATCCGTGAGCTGCAAGGTAGAAAGAGATTAGAGTGATCTCTGGCGTTGAGTCGGGGGTGGCCTTTCCGATGCATAAGTCAGTATTGCAATTAATATCTGAATAGGCGAGTGTATAAATAAAAATAATAATATAGGTGTGTGTAAAATATAAAATTGAGGTGCTCATACTTGAAGCTTTTTTTTTTTTGAGTTTTCACCCATATATATAAAGAAGATTAGAGAGTCACTTACAATGTTGTACAACAGTTAAGGTAGGGAGATATGTATGGACTAGCTTACTAAAATACTTATTGTTTGTCATATATTTATTATAATAGATTTTATTTGTGATATATGTCAACTCATTTATGCTCCTTCCTCAAGAGTGGGACCGGTGAACCCACTTGATAAATAATGTCCCGTCCCGTCAGCCGGAATGAAGTATACCTCTCAAGGGTGACTATCTAACACTGATCAGGAAGGATAAATAGCCCCGGTTGGTATCCACTTAATTCTATACATTTTGTTTTTTTTCTTTCATTTCTGTCTTCGCTGTCAAATGAAATTTCCGAGCAATTTCTAACTTACAAATATCCATAGAAGGTGAAAACATGCCTGTAGTATATATATTATTGGCAGAAAGAGAGGGAAAATTAAATATTATATATATATATATACATTTAATTTTTTTCTTGACAGATCAATTATCATATATTTAATTGGATTCGTTACATAAAAATGAGTCGCTTACTCTATAATGGTGACTGATCGGTTAAAAAAAGGGCAAAATCCAGTTTACTCTCGTGGTTTGGGTATTTTACACATGACTCCCCTATGATTTGAAAATCAGTATATTATCTCCTTGTGTTTTTGGACCGATATGCACAGTTAACACCGTTAACATAAGTTATAAAATAACTTTAGTACCCTCAAAATCTCAACCGTTAAACCTCAAAATAGGCCACATGTTATGTATTGATTAATAATTCTGATGCCACGTACTACAACAGGTTTTGTTCAACTTGATTTTTAATTTTTTGGAAAAAAATGTCAGATACTTATAAATGTCAGTGTTTAGAAAAAAATTTTAATTTTTTATTTTACCTCTAATTATTATAATAAAGTCAATTATGCCCACATATATACTTTCATCTCATTTTTGTTTTTTTACTCCTATTTGACTTTCAATTTTATTTGGACTTTTTTATAAGGACGTCTAAATTCTTTTGAACTTATGTATTAGTAATATAGTTACATACAATCTTCTATATCTATATGAAAAAATAAAATGTATAAGGTTTGATTGAATTTTATGGTCAAATATGTTATATTTTATTTTTTAGCATGCATTAATATAATAATATTATAAGTGATCTAATCAATCTATTTAACAAAATAAAAATTATTAATTTTTTTATTTTGTTTTAATTAATAAAAAATAAAAATATAATACTAAAAAATTAACAAAGTAAAACCGTATAAAGTTACATGTACATGTTATTTGATTCTTGTACCTGACTATAAAAATTTGTTTAACTATTTTAAAATTGAAAAAAAAATGTATTTCTTTGATCTTATCTCTCTCTCTCTCTCTCTCTCTCTCTCTCTCTCTCTCTCTCTCTCTCTCTCTCTCTCTCTCT